ACGTCATCCTCGTCATACGTCATCTCATCACGTCGGTCAATATAACCATTTAACGATTCTCGTGCTCGACTGAATTGGTAATGTGTCATTGATGACGCCATCTTCGTCACTACTGTCATCGTCATGACGTTGGGCAAATGTTCGAAGATTCATCATCGCTTGATTGGAGTGACAATGAATCATCGATGACGTCATCCTCGTCGCTACTTGACCGTCATGACGTTGGTTAATGTTCAAAGATTCATCATCGCTTGATTGAATCAATAATTCGTCGTCGCCGACGTCATCTTCGTCGCTACTATCACTATCATATCCGTCAATATTTGACGATTCTTCGTCGTTCGATTGAATTGGTAATGTGTTATCGATAGTGACATCATCAAAATGTTCAATGTTTGTATCACGGTAATATAATTTTGATCTTCTTTTGTTTTTCTTTCTGCGAATTTTCACATCATTGGTGAAAATCATTTCCCATTTATCGAATGGAAAAGCACCATCACTAACTGATATATGGTGAGGAAACTGCCATGCTACTGGATGTCCAGTTGATGCTAAAGATGACATCCTCCAAAAAAAGGTTAATTTGTTTAGTCCACCATCTAGGTCTTCCACCCGTACTCATCTTGGTAGTTGTACGTTGTGTTGGTTGAAGAAATGCGTTCATCACAGATGGGTGTATCTTCACCATTTCTCTTTGTTTCACCATATTCAAATCTGTAATAAAAAGATAAAAAGACGAGAAAATATGTAAATAATCATATTTATTTGTTTGGTTATTTATTTTCATGCTGTTAATAAGTCCCGTCTAATTGTGTTCATTTGTTTGTTTTCATTCTATATGCACTATATACATTCACGTAGTTGGTAACATTGGATGACATTCCAGTCAAATACAGGTTTACTCTGGTTGAATGTTAAACTAATTGGACCTGTATTTATTCTTAGAAAACGGAGCTCATAGCTCCCACAGTTTTCAAGCTCAACTACGTTTCATTAAAAACGATTTACGATCGAAGTAAACTGCGTTTTGGTTATCGTAAAACTAAAACGGAGATCGTAAATCCACTTAATTTTGAAAAATAAATGGCGGGACTTTGGTGTTGCACATTTAGTACAGAAATAAAACACACGCCCACAGTTGGACAACCAATCATTTTCTTATTGGTCACGATGTACCACGGATCATCTCCGCGTCACTTGTAAACACCACATACACGATGTGCCGCCATCCAAAGGCGAGATGAGCGGCTTCCTTCCTTGTGCACAATCAGCGTCAACTTCATGAGAGAAATACGACGCACTTGCTAAGCTACTATTTCTACTATTACTATTTCATTAATAACCAAATAGTATACTATTATCCTGTTCCCGAATTGAACATTTGTTTATTTGGAGTAATTTCCAATTCTACGCCAGATCCTTAGTAAGTAATGATTCCCCTTATTTATTTGGCCGTTATTTGACAGACGTAAAATGTCATAATGTTAACTCTCGGAACACACTGATACTGATAATGGATTAAAAATTTGCCAAAAAATACTAAATTTGCTATCCCATGGAAATAATTGAAATCAAAATATTTGGCAATATATTAAGTTTTGCGTCGCATGCATACGATTGAAATATCATATAAAATGGACCTAATATACTAATGTTGTATTTATTTAATTGTAAGAACGAGTTAACATTCTGGAATGGCCACTTTGTATCACTGATCATTGTACTTAAAACGCAAGTAAATAAATAAATAAATAAATGGTGAATATGTGAGTAAATGAATAAATGGGTAAGTAAGTAAATGAATAAATAAATAAATAAATAAATAAATAAATAAATAAATAAATTAATTAATTAATTAATTACTGAATTACTGAATTACTGAATTAATGAGTAAATAAATCAACAAATAAAAGAATAAATGGATTTTTTGTGAGTAAATGAATAAATGAGCATGTAAGTAAATGAATGAACAAATAAATAAATTAATGAATAAATGAATGAGTGAACGAATAAATAAATAATTATAAATAAATAAATAAATAAATAAATAAATAAATAAATAAATAAATAAATAAATAAATAAATAAATAAATAAATAAATAAATAAATAAATAAATAAATAAACGAATGAATGAGTGAATAAATAAATAAATAAATAAATAAATAAACGAATGAATGAGTGAATAAATAAATGAGTAAATGAGTAACGGAACAAACGAGTAAATGACTAAGTGAGTAAATAAATGAATAAATAAATAAATAAATTAATGAATGAACAAATAAATAAATTAATGAATAAATGAATGAGTGAACGAATAAATAAATAAATAAATAAATAAATAAATAAATAAATAAATAAATAAATAAATAAATACTATGACAAAGACTAACATACTGTATTCTGAACTGCTTACAAGTGAGAAGTTATTTCACTTATTACCATGCCTCAATCGATAAATAACAATCAGCATGCACAACAAGATCAAATGTTGTAAAACTAATAAATATATTGCGGTGGTAGGATCTACATTGTTACCATGGCAATTATAAACGGTCATGACATGTATGTGCAATAACATATGATAACTTGGCATATGGCCACAATAATCTAATACCAATGTCACGGATTGGTGAACACATTCAATTAATTTCTTTACACAAAATTTTATTGTTGCGAACAATAGCAGTGCAATGTAATGCTGACGGCAATATTTAATTTTTTCATGTATTTAATAAAGTAACAATGTTGTAATATTAAAATTAATTTTACCCAATTCTGTGCTCAAATCGACACCAAACGTTGTATACGGTTATGTCTTTTTCCATCCTGTCTTGCAATTGATGTAGAACCACTCATATCACAATATAACCTCTGTAGAATTTGAAAATAGAATACGGTACTAAAACCATAATAATTATTGGATCAAACGAGGCAAGCTGGTGGTGACCGGATTACTGCAAATACTATACTGAATGTTTAATCTTTCCCTTAATTACCAACAAACAAAACACAATTATTTTTCATGTAGTAATATAACCAATTACATATATACTGTAAGCTTCAATCGCGCAGTATGAAATTGCCGTTGAGCTTGGTATTCCGCTTCATAGCCGTGGTAGCCCTATGTATTGTATTAAGCATTGTGTACAATCATCTGGAGGATAATTTACATCCAACTGCGACACGTCAACGTCAACTTAAAACTCCAATCAACCATACATGTACCAAGCTGCCTATAGACGTGTTTACGGCTATACATGGAAATGGACATATGCAATATAAAAGTACTAGTAGTATGCCATACTTAAACTTGGACAACAGTCGTAAATATGCTATAAATAATTTGACTGTGGTTCAAGATGGAATTTTTTGGTCAGACGAACTGTTACAGATGTCCCCAAAAGGTATGTTAACAGTATGATCTCTTCAATGTTGGCATATGCCGATAAATGCTATTGCCCATTGAACGGGCAAAACGAATTTTATAGTGCAAATCCTTGGTAGCTTGACGACGCGAGTCATCATGGACGCTTGTGTATTTGAATAGAATCGATGGGACCGAGAAATTTGTTTTGGTTTAAGAGTATACTTTCAAAGGAAATAAATTGGTAACAAGTTAACCCATATCTAAAAAATGAGATAAATTAAGTCATTTTTACATTTCCTGTGCGTGCACTCCTACCCCCCCCCCCCCCGTGGGTCATTTCTCAGGTTATTGCCTCCGGTCAGATAATAATAATAATAATAATAATAATAATAACAATTTGACCTTGGTTATTAGTCCCCGTTCGGATGCAGTCCGAAAACGGGGACTTATGTTTTGACCTTTGTGCGTCCTTGTGTCCGTGCGTCCGTGCGTCTGGACCTGTATATCCTAGAAATGCCTAGACCAATGACAATCAAACTGCACATATACATCATGCATACTATTATATGCACATCAATTTGTTACAATATCTGATTGAAGATGGCCGAATGGTGGCCATTTTTGTGCTACAAAATCATCAAAAATCAAGTATTTCTGGCATTCCAGAAATGAATATTGGCGTTTATAGATAGATTCTGTTCAAACTTGGTACATACATTAGAGATTTTGGGATGCTGCTCCACGTCATTTTATTTTTCAGATCGGTTCAAAATGACTGACAGATGGCCATTTTGTTTAAATGAATGCGCTCTAGAGCCATATCTCTGATATGCTTTGACTGATTACAGTATGTTCAAATTTTATATATTCGTTTTATATCATGTTATAGATATATAGATATATTCTAAATAGCCGACTGGTGGCCATTTTGTTTCAATCAATGCTGCTCCAGAACAATATTTCTCGATATGGACAAGTACACGTTTGACGATCAGATACAAGATGTGGATCATTTTAATGTTATGGATCCATACTTCTGACATGTTTATGTTTCGTATATCATACAAATTATTCTGTTCTTTTATTGTGTCGAACTGGCAGTGTTGGATATTGTTAGTTTGTGTACTTCAGGTTGTGTTACGAATCAATGCTTAAGTATCACTAGCGTATATGTTGCGACGGGAAGTCTAGGATTTGTTGGGAATAACTTTTTTGCTCCAACTTATTATTACCTAGTAACCACGTCCCGAAATCTGAATTATGTCATAATATATTTATAAAATGTGTATACATATATATATATATATATATATATATATATATTATATGTGTTACATAATATATTTTAGTTTGATACAATGTTTTAATGAAATAATTTTGATAACTCAATACGTACTTTTTTATTTTCAAAAATGACCAATTTAGGGGAACATTAGGCTTGTTTATGGAGATTTTTTTTGTCCGATTGCATTCGAGCAAAAAATGCCCCTCTTCTTGGATATCTTGCTTAGTACGAATAGAAGTTCTCCATTGATAACATCGACTTGGGGCAGCAACATTTTACTATAAGCCAATTTTGTCGTAATAAAGTATATAATTTGCTCATCTGCAGACCTAATTTTAGGAGTTCTTTGGCGAGAACTATTCGAACGTGAATTTCTTATCAACATTTACAATGATTACACACGTTGCCTCAAAGTGATAAACATTGGCAAGGGTGTAGCGAATTTGTGTATCGCAAATATATTGCAGTGCACCGCCAATATTTAAAACATCACGTTCCCAATTTTCGATCTACACTACGGAAAGCCCGGTTATCAATATTCTCTGTCAAGTGAAGCTCAACAGTCAAAAAAGTGCGTAGGGAAATCAAAGGGAATAATTACCGATATACAATTAGTCGAAACGTTTCTGGGTACTGTAATATATTAAGTGAAATGCTCGAATGTTTTTTTCATTTTCAATTTTACAGGAACCTCCGTGCAAGACATTTATAGTATTTCCTCAAAATTCAAATTCAGTAATATAAATGTAACTGGTATGGAAACAAGAATTTGTAGCTACGGTTCTTCGCCAAATAACGCTAGAGTTACTTTGACTGATGGTACTCAATGGTGTGCTCGTTACAAACCGCCATGTTTTATCTTAGGTAAGACATCATTGTAATTGAATACCATATACTGTGGTTACAACTTTCATTCACAAATCAGGTTGTCAGTAACTCAATGATTATATCATCATGAGTGTTTAATGTAAATATAAAGTTTTAATATTTACACTCATAATTTGTATTGAAATATTAGTTATTTGATATAGTTACCTAGTTTGATCATAATTGAACAAATTCACAGTATGAGAGTGTATTTTATCTGAGAAGTACCACTAGTACTAGGATTACAACGACAATATTCAAAGTAATGTCGAATGGGTATAACATTAATAATATTGAACCTCCATAGGAATGATTGTATTCTTCTTCCTTTTTTTTATTAAATCACTACTAGTTTTATGAAATTGATTAAATTATTATCTTCCAATCGAAATGTCTCATTACATTTCACGTACTCTTTTGAAACGCACATTTTAAATATCATTGTTGCATTATGTTTCTAAACTAATTTACAGTCAATGAAACATTGTAAACTATTTTTTATTTTGTTTTTATTAAAATATCAGGTGAACTGATGGCATATTACTTTTCCTTGATGATGCATATGAATTATATTCCGGCTGTAATTTTAACAAAACCAGACCCGTCTACTCCACAATGGGGATCAGAATTGGTGAAAGAATTTCTAAAAAAAAGAAAATGGGATCCCAATAATATTATAACGATGACAAAATGGATTCCAAATCTGCGTAGAATGTGAATTGGTAATATATCATTTTACAGATTTGTGAGCAGTTTTCCTAATAGTTTATGTATTGATACTTGTGTGGATATCCAATCGATCTATTAACACCCAACAAACTATTGTTTTACAAAATAAATAAACGTATCGGTCATTGGGTGATATCACGATAAGGAGTTTAAATGATAATTCTGTTTTCTAATTTAGATTGGTTTCCAATATAATGAGATATGGTGATCGTCTCCTACATATTGACAACCCGATGTTCAGTAACGTCACACAACGTGAATTATTCCGTTTAATTGCCTACAGTGACGCAACAATTTTAGACTATTTGATGGCAGAGTCAGACAGGTTCGTGGATTTCGCAAATATGAATTATGTGGTTGTCAATTACACAATGTGCGGCATCCAGGTATACCTAAACGTGTCAATATTGTTTTTATAGTTTCTCAATTAGTAATGTTATTTTTTTCATTGGAAAGCACAAACTTCTTAATTGTTTAATTGTTTTGCAGAGTGTTGTTCTTACATCGACACAACTTCAAGTATCGAGGAGATAACAAATTGATCCACAATCTGTTTTTTGACGAAAACAGTAAAGCTTGGATGCTTGACAATGAAATGTCTTTTTTCTGGGGACAAACTCTTCAGACTCCAGCATATGCTCCGCTCATTGGAATATTGAAATCTGTTTGTATCTTTCGACGTCAAACTGTGGAAATGGTATTCAAACTACATGCCCATAAAAACGTGCCTCGCCTTCTATGGGAAGTGGTGAATGAACACGTAGGGCCCCTTGATTTGGAGTGGAATCCACAAAAGCCAATTATCTGTGAATTACACGATAAACAGTACACCATCGACTGGGCTAATACATTTACTGAAAGGATAGAAAAAGCCTACATGTGGATTACGCGGTGCTCCGAAGCTGGATATGAATCGTTATTAAATGATATGAAGTCGTAATCATTTCTCACACTTTTATTTTCAGTTCCGCTTATTGATATTCACTTGCATTAACCTACAACCAACACTATAGAGGGCACACAACTATCCCATGATAGTATAATGTTATCAAATGTGCACTTCAATTGTTATGCTTAATAATATGTCACACTAGTTTGATGTACCCAAGTCAATTCACATATACTGAGCATGCGCATCTTTCCAAGTAGTAGTCATTACATTTTAGTAGTTGTATGAAGACATTCTGACAGTAATTATCCTTGAGGTGTCAGTATGCATGCTCGTTGTGCTGCTGCTATTTTTAACAGATTTTCATAAATCGATAATTAAATTGCAATTACCGACTGAGTTGATGATTCGTTGTCGTCACGATTTAAGATGCTATTATTGATATATGATTTGTTCGTGTATATGTTTTCATCATTTATTTTATGGTACATATAGAATGTTAGAATATATGGCTACTTGTCTGTATATGTGTATAACATTTCTTTGGAAATAGATGAATGTTAAGATTCATTATTAATATTGATGCACTTAAATCTAGGTCGACAATTCGAACCTTAAGTATTCAAGGTGTTATTCGATCTTCTGTGCTTCAAGTATCTTACGACACTACTTATATTTCTCTATTGATCAGTCTGAGTGGATAAACAGATCGTTGCTAGAATGTGTTGCTCCTATGGCGAAAACAATATAAAAGTAACACACGTACCAGCTTGAACTCAATTTTACAATCGCACTGATATGAACGTACTACTCCATATGATGTCATGGAATATGAACAGCTTAGATACAGCTTAGATATGTTAACCTTAAATATATTAAGATATCCTGCTTCTAATGTTGGCGGGATTTGTCACATTGATGTTTGTTTGGAAAATCATCTTATTACATATGTACTGCAGTTTATTTTGATTCGTCCCTGAAATCAAAATCGGTATTTCCACATGCTATATGCAAATGAGGTCTGAACAAAGTAGTTTTTTCAAGAGTATCGTTTTTCGAAACATAGCAGAAATATACAATATTTACAAGTACGATATTTTTCCCTTGGGGTACATGAATATACTTTCCGAGTGAAATGAAATTTGAACAACAGTAATGGTACTTTTAGGCAGTCACTTATTTTGACTACAACTAATTTGCATATCACCCATGCAATAATGTTTTCGGTATTTTCACGGTCGATATGCAAATGAACATGGTATTTCCACTGGCAACTGAACTATTTTTTCTTTGTAATCACATTTTTGTCTGCTATTTTATTCGGTTTCAAATCGTTCAGCAAAATTTTTGGCATATTACTGATATTATGTGTACATCACATGGAATACTACGATTGGGAGAACGTAAATATTGTTAACCGCGTTTCGCAGTATAGCGGGTAACTATTGTCTGTTCGAGATGGCAAACAGACGGGTGTGGTATGTGGGGTCATGTGACAAGGGGTATTTAAGTGGAGGACAGAAGGTTGAATGTCAATCTAGGCCAGTCTCGCTACAGTGCAGTTTTCGGCGGTTTCCTTTTTTAGTCACACTTTGTTCATTCCTGTGCTTCTCGTGTGAATCATCATGGATCAGGCAGTGCGGCACTATCAGCCCAGCAGTAAACCTTTAACATCATGTTTTTTCAAGTGCAAGCCTGAGTAGAAAAGACGGTTGATAGAACTAGCAGATCCCGTAGTGTCGGGAATGCACGACAACGTTCACTTCCGTTAGCCGATTGGGAAGACCTTGGACGAGATGTCAAAACATACAAGACGTACATTTCGGCCTATGTTTTGGGCGGCTAAAAAGCAGGCAAGAAACATTCTGAAGCCGAGAAGAAACAGACTGCAATATTAATTTTATTTACTATGCAGCCTCGTTGGCATCATATCCGACACCACAGCAAGATTGCTTACAAATGGCATCGTGTACTGTTTCGAGAGCGGAGAATTCAAAGAAACCATGAGCATCTTTCACGTGCCGTATTCGTTACGTGTTCTCCAATCCAAAGATGTCGAACATTAAGTTAAGTAACTCTTTATGTAACTATTTTAACACTTATTGATTGTTCGTTTTTTGTGAGGTAGCATCCCTAATTCATGGGGTGTCAATTGTCGCTGCAAAAAAAAAAAAAAAAATTTCCTGTATGCATTGTGCTGTACGATGTGAGTGGTGTTACAGTCACTCCACTATTTGGCTGACTTACTATTTTGAGATTTGAGTCCCTTTGCCAGAGACTCTTGTGAGCAGGTTTAGAGTTTGGTAATTTGTTTGTAAAGTGACAACCACTTGGTCTAAAGTGTTGGAAGCGTATGCCGGTTATGGCTACTTCTCCACGGTATGT